AGTAAAGGAGAAAAGGAAAGATAGACCCATTTGAATGCAGAGTTCCAAAGAATAGCAAGGAGAGATAAGAAAACCTTTCTCAGTGATCAATGCAAAGAAATAGAGGAAAACAACAGAATGGGAAAAACTAGAGATATCTTCAAGAAAATTAGATACCAAGGGAACATTTCGTGCAAAGATGGGCTCAATAAAGGACAGAAATGGTATGGACCTAACAGAAGCAGAAGATATTAAGAAGAGGTGGCAAGAATACACAGGAGAACTGCACAAAAAAGATCTTCACAAACCAGATAATCACAATGGTGTGATCACTCACCTAGAGCCAGACATCCTGGAATGTGAAGTCAAGCGGGCCTTAGGAAGTATCACTACGAACAAAGCTAGTGGAGTTGATGGAATTCCAGTTGAGCTATTTCAGATTTTAAAAGATAATGTGAAAGTGCTGCATTTATTATGTCAGCAAATTTGGAAAACTCAGCAGTGGCCACAGGACTGGAAAAGATGGTTTTCATTCCAATCCCAAAGAATGCTCAAACTACTGCACAAATGCACTCATCTCACATGCTAGTAAAGTTTTGCTCACAATTCTCCAAGCCAGGCTTCAGCAATATGTGAACCGTGGACTTCCAGATGTTCAAGCTGGTTTTAGAAAAGGCAGAGGAACCAGAGGTCAAGTTGCCAATATCCACTGGATCATTGAAAAAGCAAGAGAGTTCCAGAAAAACATCTGTTTCTGCTTTATTGACTATGCCAAAGCCTTTGACTGTGTGGATCACAATAAACTGTGGAAATTTCTGAAAGAGATGGGAATACCAGACCACCTGACCTGCCTGTTGAGAAACCTGTATGCAGGTCAGGAAGCAACAGTCAGAACTGGACATGGAACAATAGACTGGTTCCAAATAGGAAAAGGAGTAAGTACATCAAGGCTTATTGTCACTGCTTATTTAACTTCTATGCAGAGTACATCATGAAAAATGTGAGGCTGGAGAAAACACAAGCTGGAATCAAGGTTGCCAGGATAAATGTCAATAAACTCAGATATGCAGATGATACCACCCTTATGGCAGAAAGTGAAGAGGAACTAAAGAGCCTCTTGATGAAAGTGGAGAGTGAAAAAGTTGGCTTAAAGCTCAACATTCAGAAAACTAAGATCATGGCATCTGGTTCCATCACTTCATGGGAAATATATGGGGAAACAGTGGCTGACTTTTTTTGTGGCGGGGGGGGGGGCTCCAAAATCACTGCAGATGGTGATTGCAGCCATGAAATTAAAAGACACTTACTCCTTGGAAGGAAAGTTATGACCAACCTAGACAGCATATTAAAAAGCAGAGACATTACTTTGTCAACAAAGGTCCATCTAGTCAAGGCTATGGTTTTTCCACTAGTCAGGTACGGTTGTGAGAGTTGGACTGTAAAGAAAACTGAATGCTGAAAAATTGATGCTTTTGAACTGTGGTGTTGGAGAAGACTCTTGAGAGTCCCTTGGATTGCAAGGAGATCCAACCTGTCCATCCTAAAGGAGATCAGTCCTGGCTGTTCATTGGAAGGACTGATGTTGAAGCTGAAACTCCAATATTTTGGCCACCTGATGCAAAGAGCTGACTCTTTTGAAAAAACCCTGATATTGGGAAACATTGAAGGTAGGTGGAAAAGGGGGTGGCAGAGGATGAGATGGTTGGATGGCATCACTGACTCAATGGACCTGAGTTTGGGTAAACTCCGGGAGTTGGTGATAGACAGGGAGGCCTGGCATACTGCGGTTCATGGGATTGCAAAGAGTCAGACACTACTAACCAACTGAACTGACTGACAACTGTTGGGCGATAATTTGTTACAACTTTGGAAAATAAATTGTTGTCATGCAGCAAAGTTGAACATATTCATACCCTACAAACTGTCAGTTTCACTCCTAGAAATGTATATGGAGATTCTTGACTTATAAGCACAAAGAATCAGACATTTACAGCAGCATTTTCTTTGTGTGGGAAGAAAACATTAGAACATCATGTCTTCAACACCAAAATAGGTATATTTTAAATTGTTGATATACTAGGGTTCTCTGCATCATTGAACTAGAACTATAGCTCTATATAGATATATCTTAGAGATATGATTATAAAGAAGATGGTTGCCAAAGAATATGTAGCATGGTACCATTTAGCATTGATTTAAAATTGATGCTTTCAAATTGTGTTGCTTGAGAAGACTCTTGAGAGTCCAACATAACACCTTTTAGCATAAATTTTAAAAATCTGCCTAAAAATTGTTATTTGGGGATGAATACGTGTGTGATAAAGGTATTAAGAGATGTGCTGCAACTATAAGCACTACATTCAGAGTAATGGTTAGTTCTGGAGGGTAGAGAAAAAACAGGTGCAGTGAGAGAATGGATGCAAGGGCTGCACAAGTATTGATCATGTTTTATTTCAAAAGGTAGGTAGTGAGTGTGCAGGTTTTGACTGTATTACTCTTTAAACAGTTTAGTGTCTATGGTTGAAATGTTAATTTAAAAAAAAAGTTAAGGACTAAAAAAATGTAGATAAAATGCTACAAGGATAATATGTGTTACATGAAAATATGCAAATTGCTAAAAATTGTAAACACTGATACCCATGCAGTTAGGTGAGCAAATAATTTGGCAAAAAATTCACAAGAAGACTAAACAAATGAAAAGGTGCTCAAGCTCAATAATAAGCAAAGAAATATGAGCCTCAATATTCAAATATCTGTAAACACTGAAGTATCTTCTGCTGCCATCACATACTCAACCTTTGAATCTAGTAATTTATTTCTGAGACCCTGTTCTCCAAAAGTCATCACTAACTTCTAACAATTATTCTCTTTGATTTATGGAATTAAAGGTCTTTTTCTTCCTATTTTACATTTCTCTTAAAATATTATCACTTTTAATATTTAAAAAAAAAATTAAGTGGTGTGCTAATGCCTGTTGATACTTATAATTGTTGATACTTATAATTCAGCAACATGCCCTAGCTGCTATTGCTTTCTAATCAATTAAGGGATTTCCAGAAATACATGATATGCAGATGATACCACCCTTATGGCAGAAAGCAAAGGAGAACTAAAGAACATGTTGATGAAAGTAAAAGAAGAGAGTGAAAAAGTTGATTTAAAACTCAACATTCAAAAATCTAAGATCATGGCATCTGGTTCCATCACTTCATGGCAAATACATGGGGAAACAATGGAAACAATGAGAAACTTTATTTTCTTGTCTCCAAAATCAAGGCAGATGATGACTGTAGCCATAAAATTAAAAGATGCTTATTCCATGGAAGAAAAGCTATGACCAATCTAGACAGCATATTAAAAAGCAGAGACATTACTTTGCCAATAAAGGTCTGTCTAGTCAAAGCTATGGTTTTTTACAGTAGTCATGTATGGATGTGAGAGTTGGACTATAAGGAAAGATGAGTGCCAAAGAATTAATGCTTCTGAACTGTGTTGGAGAAAACTCTTGAGAGTCCCTTGGACTACAAGGAAATAAAATGAGTCAATCCTAAAGGAAATCAGTCCTGAATACTCATTGGAAGGACAGATGCTTAAGCTGATGCTCCAGTACTCTGGCCACCTGATGTGAAGGAATGACTCATTGGAAATTCACTCTGAGAAAGATGGAAGGCAGGAGGAGAAGGGGATGACAGAGGATGAGATGGTTGGATGGTATCACTGACTGGATGGACATAAATTTGAGCAAGCTCCAGGACTTGGTGATGGAGAGGGAAGCCTGGCATGGGGTTGCAAAGAATCAGACATGAATGAGCAACTAAACTGAACTGAACTGAGAAAAACATCTACTTCTGTTTCATTGACTCTGCTAAATCCTTTGACTGTGTGGATCACTACAAACTGTGGAAAATTCTTCAAGGGATGGGAATACCAGACCACCTTACCCATCTCCTGAGAAATCTGTATGCAGATCAAGAAGCAACAGTTAGAACCAGACATGAAAGAATGCACTCAAAATTGGGAATGGAGTACATCAAGGCTATATATTGTCATCCACTTATTGAACTTCTATGCAGAGGACATCCTGAAAATGCCAGGCTGGATGACTCACAAGCTGGAATCAAGATTGCCGGGAGAAACATCAACAACCTTAGATGTACAGATGATACCACTCTAGTGGCAGAAAGCAAAGAGGAACTAAAGAGTCTGTTGATGAGGGTGAAAGAGAAGAGTGAAAAGGCTTGCTTAAAACTCAACATTCAGAATACTTGAATCATGGCATCTGGTCCCATCACTTCATGGCTAATAGATGAGGAGAAAGTGGAACCAGTAACAGATTTTGTTTTCGTGGGCTTCAAAGTCACTGGATAGTGACTGCAGTTATGAAATGAAAAGATGCTTGCTCCTTGGAAGAAAATCCATGGCAAACCTATTGAAAAACAGAGACATCACTTTGCCAACTAAGGTCTGAATAGTCAAAGCTATGATTTTTCCAGTAGTCATGTATGGATGTGAGAGTTGGACCATAAAAAAGACTGAGCACTGAGCAATTGATGCTTTCAAATTGTGGTGCTGGAGAAGACTCTTCAGAGTCCCTTGAACAGCAAGAAGATCAAATCCTAAAGGAAATCATTCCTGAATATTCATTAGAAGGATTGATGCTGAAGTTCCAGTACTTTGACTACCTGATTCAAAGAACCAACTCATTGGAAAAGACCCTGATCCTGGGAAAGATTGAGGGCAAGGAAAGAAGAGGGTAGCAGAAGATGAGATGGTTAGATAGCATCACCAACTCAATGGACATGAGTTTGAGCAAACTCCAGAAGGTACTGAAGGACAGGGAAGCCTGGCATGCTGCAGTTCATGGGGTTGAAAAGAATCAGATGCAACTTAACAAAGCTAACAAATGACATTTAAATACCCTATAATGATTATTTTGTTTTTCAGTAAGCAACATGATTTGAAAATAATGGTCATATTTGTATATATATTTTTAGTTTTTGTTTGTTTTGTTTTCTCTTTAGGAAAAAAAAGAAAGGAAGGAAAGAATTGAACGAAAACAAAAGAAACGCCATCCCTTTCTTGAAAATGAGGCACTTCCTCCATGGAACCCTCCAAGCAGAATTGTGTTCTCAAAAGTGTTTTGATAATTCTGAAAACTAAGATCGTGGCATCTGGCCCAATCACTTCATGGCAAATAGATGGGGAAACAATGGAAACAGTGACAGACTTTATTTTGGGGGGCTACAAAAACACTGCAGATGGTGACTGCAGCCATGAAATTAAAAAATGTTTGCTCCTTGGAAGAAAAGCTATGACCAACCTAGCTAGCATATTAAAAAGTAGAGACATTATTTTGACAACAAAGGTCTGTCTACTCTAAGTTATGGTTTTTCCAGTAGTCATGTACGGATGTGAGAGTCAGACTATAAAGAAAGCTGAGCACCAAAGAATTGGTTTTGAAGTGTGGTGTTGGAGAAGACTCTTGAGAGTCCCTTGGACAGCAAGGAGATCCAACCAGTCCATCCTAAAGGAAATCAGTCCTGAATATTCATTGGAAGGACTGATGCTGAAGCTGAAACTCCAATACTTTGGCCACCTGATGCAAAGAACTGACTCATTTGAAAGACCCTGATGCTGGGAAAGATTGAAGGTGGGAGGAGAAGGGGATGACAGAGGATGAAATGGTTGGATGGCATCACCAACTCAGTGGACATGAGTTTGAGTAAACTCTGGGGGTTGGTGATGGGCAAACAGGCCTGGGGTGCTACAGTCCCTGGGGTGGCAAAGAGTCAGAGACTCTGACTGAGTGACTGAACTGAAGTGAACTGATTCTTGCCTTATTTAATTATTTATTAGTTCAACAATTTTAGCCAAACTAACTTTAAAACTATTCATTCAATTGTTTATAGTTAGAAGAGTCTGTTTTGGTTAATGTTGATTATTTCTGCTGACAATGAAAAAGATGCTTTGGAGTTTAATCAGTGAAAACACTGAAGGCATTTTCATCTCTAGATGTGTGTGGGCTTGTGTGCTCAGTCGCATCTGACTGACCTTTTGCAACCCCATGGGCTGTATCCCGCCAGGTTCCTCTGTCCGTGGGATTTTCCAGGCAAGAGTACTGGAGTGGGTTGTCATTTCCTTCTCCAGGAGATCTTCCTGACCCAGGAATCAAACCCATGTCTCTTGTGTCTCCTGCATTGTCAGGCAGATTATTACTGTGCCATCTGGTAAATTGCCAAAAATGAAGAGCTAATAATCAGATTGCTTTTAACTATTGAAATATATAACCCTTTATCATGTCCTGATAATTCTTACAGTCTGATGAACCATGATGGCTTGCACTAACCTGTGCATGTTATTTAAGTGTATTTATTCCCCAATATCAAAAGAAAATCATCTAGTACCTTAATCATAGAAATAATTAAATTTCTGAATGATTGACTGCACATGTAGATTCAGGTCTTAAAATGAATGATTACTGCGAAGTATACATATACTATTTCTTCTAAAACTAACCTCTAGCTCAAAGTAGTTCCTTTTACACTGTACAACTTACAATTTTGGTCAGCTGAGGCAGTAGTTCAGTAGAATCATTCAAATCATTGAGGCATTTTATTTAAGAATGTTGCCTTATGTTTTTAATATGAATGTACTTTATCTGTTCCTGCTAAAATGACAATCAGGCACTTTATAATGAGCAGACCTCTAAAATATATCTTCCTAAATTTTGTCTCACTTTATCATTTCATTGATAACAAAAGATGTCAATTTCATTGTAGTGGTATCCATTAGTTATGGAAATTTCACGAGTCCAGGGTCACTATTACTATTATTTTCTAGACTAAAGCCATAACAATGATAGACAATTTTTGTCCTCTTAGCTAATCCAGAGCCATACAACTTATATTTAGAAGAAATTTTGAAAAGATAATTTGTAGAAAATGTCCAAAGAGTATATATTTATTTGATCTCTGCATATCCTCATTAATCAGACCCATACTTGTCATCTAGTTTATCACAGACCAAGTGTATGCTCTGAGTTGAAATGCTACTTTAACCATTAGTAGATGAGAGTAAAGTTACTGTTTATTAAGCATCTGTTGTATACTCTCTACTAGAGCTTTATAAGTATTATTTTTTATCTTTACAACAGCTGTTCAGAGTTTGTGTTGTTACCTTCATTTTGCAGATAAAAGTACTGAGAGAGAAATCAAACAATCAAAAATGAAAAAAGGAATTCGTAATATTTAAGGAGTGAGTTCAAATGCCCATGTCTATTAATTGAATGTCAGAACACCCAGTGGGTTATGAAACTTAGACTTTGAGACAGTTAGGAGATTTCACACTCTGAGGATTAGCCTGCTTACTGCAGTGGATGTGCAAAGTAAGAAAACTGTCATGGATATCTCTATAAGATCACATCAGTGCTACAGATTAAAAAAAAAAACAGAATAGATTAAGTATTTATTGTATTGAATTAGGTATTTAGAGCTTAAAAGATATTTGCCAATTCCATGGAGATAAAGAAAACTAGAAAAAAGTACACCTACTTTTATGGCTGTGAGATCTTCACTATGTGTGTGATAGATTTCACATTTTCTTAAGCATCCTGACCATTTTCATCTAATTTATCATGCTTAGTGAATTAACTGTTATCACATCATAGTTAATTAACAAAGCATAAGGAAAGGCTTAATAAGTAAGTGTTCATTCTTTTCATTTTCTTCTTATGCTGAGACATGTGTTTCCCCACCTCATGTTTGTGACAAGATTAACATGGATGGGGCTGATAATGTAAATTAACATTGCACATGACTAATGTACAAGAATAAATCTCTGCTTCCCTAGACAGTCTAGTTGTAGCACTCAAAATATAGAGGTGACCTGCATTTTGGACCTTCTAAAAAGAAATCTAAATAGTAATTCCATAGCATTCTTGTGAGATAAATGAAAAGGGATATTGAGATGTTTGCAAAGACCCAACAAGTCATTTCCCTCAAATAGTAAGCTAAATAAAATATTATTTCCTGTTTACAGCAAGCTGTACTGACTGAATGGTCTAACAGAAAGAAATAACCTCTTCTCCTGGAGCAGAAATAAAGCTGAGTTCTGGGAGCTGAATGAATTTACTTTTTGAGGTCCAAAGAGAAGAATCAAGCCTAGCAATATTCTCCTGAAGACGTTTGTCTATTTAAGGCATTTGATTTCCCTGTATTTCTTTTAAAATGATCAGATATCAATATCATTAACATTTATTAAGTTTTTCTTAAAATATGTGTGTGCTCAATCATATCCAACTCGATACAACCCCAGGAGCCCGCCAGACTCCTCTGTCGATGGTATTTTCCAGGCAAGAATACTGGAGTGGGTTGCCATTTCCTTCTCCTCCAGGAGATCTTCCCAACCCAGAGACTGAATTGGCTGTCTCCTGCATCTCCTGCCTTGACAGGTGGATTCTTTACCACCTGGGAATGTGAGGGAATATTAATTCGAATTAAAAACACTAAAATCCTACAGATTTTACAATTAAACTTCTACTTTTGTAAACTGTATTGAGTACTTGGAAAATGCTGACACTTCAAAGTAAATAGCAATTTAATGAATATTTTAACACATTACTGAGAACAATTTCCCTAGAAATTTTATTTTATTTTATTTTCCATTTATTTTTGTTAGTTAGAGGCTAATTACTTTATAATATTATAGTGGTTTTTGTCATACATTGACCTGAAAATTTTATTCAGAACTGAAGTTTAATAATAACCAAGAAAACTGTGCTAAGTCACTTCAGTTGTGTCTGACTCTTTGTGACCCTATGACTGTAGCACACCAGGCTCACCTGTCCATGGGATTCTCCAGGCAAGAATACTGGAGTGGGTTGCCATTTCCTTCTCCAGGGGATCTTCCTGACCCAGGGGGTCAAACTCAAGTCTCCTATGTCTCCTTCATTGACAGGCAGGTTCTTTACCACTAGCGCCACCATTTTATTCAGAATTAAAGTTCATAATAACCAAGAAAATTAGTGTTACATAAATAAAAAGAAAATGATATGGTGTTTTAGATCAGGAAAAGGTTAAATTTTTCTTAATGTAAGAAAATAAGAACTGGGGCTTCACTGGTGGCTCAGTGGTAAAGAATCCACCTGCCAGAGGAGCAGACATAGGTTTGATCCCCATTCCAGGAAGATCCCACATGCCGTGGAACAGCAAAACCTGTGCCCAACAACTCTTGAGCCTGTGTTCTAGGGACCTGGAGCCGCAACTACTGAGTCCATATACTGCAATTATGGACATCTGTGCACCCTGAAACCTGTGCTCTGCAACAAGAGAAGCCACTGCAATGAGAAGCCCAGGCATCACAGCTAGAGAGAGTAGCCCCACACACTGCAACTATCGACAGAGAAATGTCTGTGAGGCAAGGAAGACCCAGCACAGCCAAAAAATAAATTAATAAAATTATAAAGAAAGAGAAAGTAAGAATTGTTCAGGGATAACAATATTCCAGTGGTCTGCATTGCATCACATTTTGAAAATGTGAGTAGATCATTTACTGTTTTAAATAGTATTGAAACTGATGTTTTTTTCACTGTTGCCAAAGCAGTAGCTGTTAGTTACGTGTCCAAAGTTTGGTACAGTAGGGTGATATAACTATGCATCTGAAAGAGATTTTAATAATTTAATAAACCTGACCCATATTCTTATTTCTAAGTTAAACTGATTTCCAAAGCCCTACTCTTGCCTGTTCTCACACAAAGGACCATAAGAAATCTAGAGTTACAACTCAGGTATCATGTTTCCCAGCTGTAGATTGTCCACCATTCTACAGTTTTGATAATCTGCCATTATTTATGTCATCGGGTTTTGTACTCTCAGATGTGTCCTTGCTCTTCCACAGCCTTCTCCATAACCTCAGATCAGAGCTGTTTGTGTACCTACATTTTCATGGAAAATGTGGGGAAATACTGTAGTTTTTGAAATGCTGAATCCTGAGCTAAGATACAGTAGAGAAAAGGAATTTTACAAAATAGGAGAAATTGATGTTTCTCAAAATCGTTCCCCCAAAAACTCTGTCCTGATTTAATTTTGACTCTGCTTTCAATAATGCTCTATTTAAAAATATTTAAAACCACATACCTCCATTCTAT